TGATCCATCACAGCCCACATCCTTAATCAACATCAAATGAAATCAATCCCATAAAGCTGGTCAAAATGGCACTCTGAACCCCCTGAACAGTAAGACCTGGACCAAGGAGAAATATGAGCAAATTTGATTCAAAGCAAATATGAATATCTTTAGCCTCAAGGTGCTTTGCAAATGCCTCACAGTAGGCCGTTGAGGTTTTCATTACTATCCCAATAGGGCAAGATATAATAGTCCGTTTATCTTCCAGAAAAGCTCTGCTGAACAGCTACTTGAGGACTGATGGAGGCAAACAGATCAAATCCATAGAGAGGAACTCCACACCTCCAGGAGCTTCACACATAGCTTTGCCAGCTCATAGCTTTCTGCGTTGCTCATTCCTCCCCCCAATTAAAAATGGCCAAACTGTTGTTTCTTCTAAAACATCTGCTAAGCATTCATCACATTGAAGTTCTTTTGATCTAAGTCCCAGCTACAATCAGATGCCACTTCTAGGCAAAACAATTGTGCGAAATCTCTATGCAGGCTAATTAGACAGGAGACCCATAGCAGTGAGATTTCTGTGTGTATTTCTAGTCCCATTCCTTTAGATCTTCAAACCCACTATGTTGTTTAATTCTTTGATACAACCTTCAAGCACCTATTTTGTATGATTAGAAAGTCTAGATGAAATAATCGCATCTTCCCCTGTGCTCCTGCCTCATTGTCTCCCATGGGCTGATCTACAGGCATTATCCTCTAGGAGCAGAGATCTGCCCTCTTGTCCTCAGTAAAGCCCAGTGCATACGAGGGGATGCTGATAAGTATTGAGCCTTCCCCAGAAAAAATTGAGCTAGGAAGCTGTAACTGCCACGCTATTCTACATATTCCCCCAGGAAGTCAGTGCACTTGCAACATCTGTCCTGCAGCTTCTTAAGTCCCTGCAAATAAAATTCTTCCAACCGCATTCATTTGCAGCATTATTTGCCTCCACAATACTCCCAAATCATTGCTCCTTTAGATCTTTTTTGAGTTTGGGGAACAGATAATAGTCAGAAGGAGCCAAGTCGGGAGAATAGGGTGAATGGGGCATCACTTGAAAGCCTAAGGAGGTCAGTTTTCTCATTGTTTCACCTGCAGTGTGTGACGAGGTGTTGTCATGCAACAGGATGATACCTTTGGAGAGCTTTCCTCAATGTTTTTCCTTAATGTTTTGCTTCAACTTCATCAATAAAGCACAGTAATATTTTGCATTGATGGTTGAACCCTGTTGGATGTAGTCCACCAGCAGAACTCCCTTCTTATCCCAAATAAACTGTTGCCATTTGCTTCTGCACCGACCTTTGCACCTGGAACTTCTTTGGCCTGGGGGAACCACTGTGCCTCCATTCCTTAGACTGTTCCTTTGTCTCAGGATCATAACAGTAGATCCATATCTCATCCCCAGTTACCAGTTTGTCCAGGAAATCTGACTCATTTCTTGCAAAATGTTCCAAAACAGCCACAGATGACTCCACGCGTTTCCTCTTTTCTTCAGTTGTCAAACGTTTAGGGATCCACTCTGCTGCCAGCTTTCTCATTTCCAAGTTGTTGTGGATAATGGCACCAACTCTCTCACGTGATATTCTCGGATATATAGCAATACGTTTGGTTGATATTTGGCGGGCCTCCATGATCATGTCATGGATGTCTTTCACATTTGCAGACACAGAGACAGAAACAGGCCTTCCACTGGGTTTCTCACTTTCAACACTGAAATGGCCAGTTTTGAAACTGACAACCCAGTGTTTAACTGTTGCATATGAAGGGCCACTGTCACCCATAGTTTGTGACATTTCATCATGGATGTGATATTGATAGAGAAATGTAACTGTATTGAGCAAGTTTTGCCTTCCACATATTATTCTTTGCTTGTATTATTTCTTGCTCTTTGCTAGGTGCCTGCTGAAGAATTTCTGGTATGGGGTGGAACCTGACATTTAAGATAAGATACTGTAGCTTGTTTTGCAAAAGTAAACATTAGGTTAGAATTCCAAATCATGTAGTAAGGGGAGATTAGGGGTGGTACTTTAGTCAGATTTTGAGCTCATCGGCCAAATTGGCCAATGGAGACAGTTAAGAGGGGATGGGGGGTTTGTAGGTATAAAATCTTATGCACAACACTTTTCTGGCAGAGTGAGAGACTGAGATTTTCTAATTGCTTTCTCTTTCTCTCCGGTTGCAACTGCGTCACAATAAAGGAACTCCTTTTCACTTTCACCTCAGCTTTGTAGATTTATTTCTACTATAGGTGGATATTTCCATAACAGATCTGCTTTGCACCTTTCCCTTGGAGAAGCAGGAACTTGATTATGATCCTATGCTCTTCCACACTGAACTTTTCTGGAGGTGCTGCCATGTTCACTTTGGACCTGAACTTGAAAGATAAGTTAAAATCATAGGTACTGTAGTTGATTTTTGCATCATTGAATACAGACAAATTGGCCAACACACCCTGCAATTTATAGCTTCCTAGCGCAATTTTTTTCTGGGAAAGGCTCAATACCCCCTCGTATTAGCAAAAATAAGTATTATACTGTACCTACGTTCTTTCATTTCTCACATGCTGTAATGCAAGGCTTCTGAAGTTCTGTAAACCAAGAGCTTGTAAAGTTTCTTGGGGGTGGGGGCTATCCTTATGGGTGGCTGGGGGACTGTGCAAGTGGTAGTCCAAAATTAGAACATTCCCAGACTGAAGAGTTTACCCTAATTTTCTGTTACCTGCAAAGTCTGTGGTTAATTTACTATCTGGCTACACACAAGTAAATGAAACCGAGAGACCTTTACTGTTTATCAACGGGGGCTGTATTTGTATCTGTATTTCATTTTACAAACTGACTTTAGCTCTACTTGGCTGCTGTGAATGGCACTGGAGCAGGATCACGAAAAATAAGTGGCAACTGTCTCCCAAAATATGTTGGAAAGGGCTGTAAATCATTGAGTGTATGAGGTGGAAAAGAGCAATGTCTCCTTAGCCTGGTGGAACCTCTTCTTTTTATAAAGTTCACAATGCCAACCATTTATTTGTCTTCTTCCTCCAATTTACACAGCATAGTTCAACTGGTTGCAGCCAGTGTTAACATATTTCCAATAAATTAATGCACAGAAATGAATGTAGTCCTGAAAATCGCTCCATAAAATTTAACTTACAAAAATGTTTCCAGTCTTTATGTTCACCTCAGTGAATGCCATTCACTTAAGGACAAAGAAAGAGAGAAGTGTGCTTAGGAAGGTGGTGACAGCTTAGATTTGGAAGTGATTCTTTCCCTGGATGAGGGAAATCACAATGACGCTGCAGCCCCTGCTTCCTCACACGCCCTTCTGTTCCGAAGATTTGCCACCTGTCTTCTGCCCCTGCTGTTCTGTCTTTAGCAGCAGGCACTCACACATGAAAATGACAGGGAAGTAAATGGTGGGAGAAGTCACCTGCAACTTGCAAGGGTGTGAAAAACTACTCAAAGATACTGAAATACAATAATTGCAATACATTTATTTTTTAATTATTTTTTAAAATGTTCATTTTAGACATACAGTACAAGTGTTTTTTGGAGATGAAGTATAAAAAATACAACAGGAAGCAAAAAGTCCTACTGAGTCCTTTGCTTCCATTTGGCATCATGCAATTATAGAGTTGCAGCTTACAGCTACAGAACTGAATGTTTTCAGCCTGCAGGAAAGAGAGTCATAGAGTTGGAAGAGACCACTGAGTCCATCCAGTCCAATTCCCCGCCATGTGGGAACATCCATCAAAGTACTCCCAACAGATGGCCATCCAGCCTCTGCTTAAAAACCTCCAAAGAAGGAGACTCCACCACCCTTCGAGGCAGCCTATTGCACTGCCGGACAGCCCTGATGGTCAGGAAGTTCTTCCTAATGTTCAGATGGAAACTTTTTTCCTGTAGTTTGGAACCATTGCTCTGTGTCCTAGTCTCTGGAGCCCTGGAAAACAAACCGCCCCCCTCTTCAACATGACATCCTTTCAAATATTTAAAGGCTGTATTTAATATTTCAAGGAGTGCTTCCTTTTATTTCCTTCTCTTTTACTGCTCTGAATTTCATTCCCATCATCGACAATCCCTTTCCTTTTTGTACCTATGTTCATTACCAGGATTATATAGATACCAAGATAAACTGAAAGATTAATAGCACATTTCTATGTGGCCAATCCAGTAAAAAGAAACAAAATGAGGAGAGACTTGGCTTTTCCCTGAATATATGTCTTCATCATATTTTCAATTCTAGTTTGCAACAGTCCATGGGAAAGGACCCAAGTGCAGTAAACTGGAGAGTATAAATATACTTTTGCAAGGAATACATGAAGATAGTTGTAAACAAATCACCATTTCCAATGAACCTGCTGACTGAAAGCCTGTTGCTTAGATTAGTATGTTGCACTAGAGTAGGTCCATTGAATTAGTGGGGATTTGATGAGACACTTTTTCTGTATATTCTATTGATTCAAATAGGTCAACTCCAGTTGTGACTTATTTTAGTGTAGCAAGTTGTATGTAGAGTAGGCCTGTTGGATCAGTGGAATGTATGGGAGGAGTTGATCCACCCAGTCCCCACTGATTCAGTGGGCCTACTCTATTTGCAACTTACTACGCTAAGCAACAGGATGTCAGCCTATGAGATTTGCTTCCAAATAACCATGAATAGGATTGTACTGTGAATCCATGCACAACCCAATGTATGCAGTGTTTCTGTCACAGCATAACTTCTGTCTGAGGCAAAGAGGGTACATCCAGCCCACAGGGCAGAGATGTGAACAGCAAATTCTGAAGCAGAGTCCTTGGTTGTGCAGTTGCCTGCAATCTGTTTAACTGGGGATCCCAGGGATTGAACCTGGAATGTTCCCAACCTTGGGTCCCCAGATGTTCTTAGACTAAAATGGATATGTTTTGAATTAATTTTAAATGGATATGAATTCTTCTAATATCTGACATTATGTTCTAAGTTATCTTTTCATATATATTTTTTACTAGAACGAATGCAGGTAACACAGTCTGAAATTGCTGTATCCTGAGTGTAAATGGCCCTAGTGATAGCAGGAAAAAAGGTAAGCTCGTCACACTTTAAAAAGAGAGATGTCTCTCTGGATTTCATGGTGCTCTACCTGTGTACTAGCAGTGATGGTTTGTGCCATGCTGAAACCATCCCAAAGTCAAGATTGTTCCACAGAGAAGATGGAGAACACCACCATTGATATCAAAGCAGCGATTTCCAAAGGCATCAAGGGAGCAGACCCCATCCACGTGACAACATGGAAAGCCTGCGTTGATTTTTGCTGTCTGGAGAGAAAAATAGCAGGTAACAACAATGCCCAGTGGATGCTTATGTTTTGTAGACTTGCAGCACAATCATATACTTGTTTACTCAGATATATGTCTCTGTGAGTCCAGTAGGACTTCCAAAGTAACAGTGTGTATACATGTCTGTGTACAGATGTCTGCATATGTTGATATGTTTAACCACTCTTCATTCTCTGTCCAGAGGTCTTTGGAACTGTTACCCTGTAGCTGGAGTTGGGGTGGGAGGAGGGAAATCTAGAAAATCCCAGATTTTTTGACATTTTTATCATTGCCCAAAATTTGTGGAGGGAATCCAGAGCTTGTGTAAAACTGATGAGAGGTTTGTACTACCTTGTGACTTTTCAAAGATGTTGTCTGTTAGCGCAGGGAGTGAATGCTGTAAGCTTAAACATAAATTTGCTTCATTTAGAATCCCTTCAGATTTTATAGGACTTCTTCCCACCTACCCTCCAACTTTTTCCCATTTCGAACTGCATGTGATTATTCTTCAGGAATACCTGTATTCTGGAACTTACATGGTATGGAAAAATAGCCCTCTTTGAAGACTTAAAATATGTTGCTGTTCCCTCCTCCCTCCTTTTTTAAAGAGTAAACTTTCAATATTTCCAGGATCAGGGCTTTGAACTTTGCTTTTAGTCTTGCCTCTCCCTGCAGTTTGCCCATAGGTGCCATTCTGAAGGCTGACTTCGTATGTAGTCATCGAGCACATGGGAATTTAAACCCACTTCTGCTTGTTTTGGAAACGAAGTAAGACAAGATGTCCTTCTGCCACTACTCCATAGCACCATCACCGCTGCGCCCCATATATCTGTGTTTAATATGTGTAGGATAGTGAATCTTAGCAGGAGAAGATTTTGCTTTTCTAGAATCAAGCCAAGGTATCCAAATACTGTACAATATTATTGTTAAAAATCCATTTAAAGCTTTGCTTTGTGTTTTCCAGGCAACAAGCCATGCAATTATGTGGTCTTTAGTGCCAGAAGGAAAAGCCAGTCTCCCAATTGCTATCTCTTTTATTATCCCATGAAAGAAATCTGTCCAATGAAGGAAGGATTAGGACTAGTCACCTACAGAATAATAAGAGGTAAGTAGTGTTAAAAATCCAGTGGCAAATCCATCATTCAAGAAATGCTGTATTTTTTTTCAGAATGTGCCTAATCAGTTCCACCACCACTCCATTACTCAAGATTACTTACAGCACCATTTCCAATTTAAAAACTCATAAACATATGACATATTAAAAGCCAATATTTGTCTACCAGCAGCCATCTGACCTGCTTTCTTTTCTTGTTCTTTTAAAAAAAAAAGGGCAGTCATTCCTAAAAAGCTTGCTTCACAAGACAAGCCTTACAAAGGCTTCTTAAAACTCAACAGGGAGACACAGAGATGCATCTCTTTTAGACATTTATTCCAGCATCTCACACCTTTTTCAGGGAACACGTCATTCTTTCCCACTGCGGTTCATCTCAGACATCATTATCTTAAGCAAGTCTTTAAGTGTCAACATTCTTTATCTAAAAAAGCTTTATATCCTGCTTGGAGTAGCTCCATTCTTGAAGCGGTTGGTAATACAGATCATCAACAGAATGGCTGAAATCCTGTTATTTAGCATAATAAGATGCAATTAGAGTAGGTCTATTGAATCAGTGGAACTTACATAGGAGTATACTCACCAAATTCCCACTGGTTTAATGGGCCTACTCTAGTTGTATCTTACTACGCTTACTAGAACAGGATTTCAGCCATAGTGATGATGATCTATACTACCAATTACTTCAAGGATGGAGCTATATGGAGAGTCACAAGAAGAGAAGGCCTTTCAGGTCAGTCGGGATTCTGCCTCAAGCACTGGAAGGATGGCTCCCCTTCTCTGCAGGATCTCACAAGGGTGGGACACACAGAAAGGGGTGTTTCTTCATATCCTAATGGGAGGGGGGACACAAACAGGGTGAGTTGGAGCTTCAGGCTAACTAAATGCTTCTAGTTTCTTTACGCTGACTATCTGGGACTGTGGCGGATGCCCACGTCACTCCTGTCAATCGCATTGGAACCTCATTTGCATGAGCCAATGGAAGGACAGGAGGGGGCGGAGGCAGAGTCTGGGGAGTTAGTCAGAGGTGTCAGTTAGTCATTTGGAGAGAGAAATGAGATAGAGAGATTTGCAGAAGGAGCTAGATAGTCAAAGTTAGAAGTGAGAATTGTAACAAGTAAATACCTAAGCTGGTTAAATTACAAATAACTAAACAAAAGAGGACATTTCAATTATTGTGATTCTGAGTAAATAAATAAAGAACATCTGTAACTTTAATAAGATCAGAACATCTGTAACTTTAATAAAAACTTTCTATTGTTGGCAGCCAGTGATTGAGTAAAATAATTTACATTATGGATAAAAGAAATCCACTGGTGGCAGCGAAAGAACGTCACCAGCGTGGACCTGTGGTTGGAGGGAAACAAACAGGGCACGGGGTGGATGTCGCAGGGACATACTGATAAAGTCCTGGTGCATCTGCCACAGACCTTGCAGGCCATCAGTTGACCATCCACAAGTGGTCCTGGTTTTCTACAGTGAAAATAAGAGGAAAGGTTTTTAGAGTGAAAACAGATATAGACATGAAATGGAGATTTGTGCCCTAAAATGAAGACTAAAATATTTTAAATAAATCAGCATTTTAAAGATAATCAAAGTAATTCAGATACATTTACCCATCCACGCTGTTGGAGCTGCCACTGCCAACGTTTGTTGATATGAAGGCAGCCATAACAAAACAAGAAAAGCTACTTTTTAAAATTTGAAAACAAGGCATGAAGGGGGCGAACCTCATGTAAAAGCACAAGCTACTGGAGTTTCAAGGGGGCTTCCAAGAATATAACTATGTTTTAAAACAAATCTTGTTCTTCAAGAACCGTGCTGCTTTTTCTTATCACCAGCCATCACATCTCAGTGGCGGCAGTGTGTGTTTCAAGGGATGGAGGCAAATTACAATGATGCAAACTATTTGGTTAATCAAGTGCATCATGTCTTGTTCTCTTGCAAGCCTGGCACAAGCACCTGGTTTGGCAGGATCATTTCCAGAGAACCCTGGGCATTGCCCTAAGCCCAGAGATACTGAAGAGATGTTACTGTATTGTGCATCCCATTAGTACATATATTGTCCACCATTTCTTGTCCCCATTTTTTCTGAGTGAGATGGGGTGGAATCTGCTGAAGTAGGAAGATAGAATAGCTACACTGTGTCTTTTGGCCATTCGCCTTTCAGCATACTTAGCATTCTCCAACCATCTTGCAAAATGTACAGTTCCAAGAGCTCCTCGGGCAAAAACCATGAGTACAAGCCATGTCAAACTGGCCCATATTTGTAGTTAGGGTGCCCTCTTGCCTGCTTCTGAATAAACAGGATGAGGCTAATAATCTCCCTACAAACAAATGGAGGATAACACTTATAATAAATGAGAAGTCTTGTATTCTATCATCTTGGCATAATAAATAACAAAATCTTCTTGCTGCGTTTTATTTTTCCAGACGCAGGGGTGCCTGAGCCGAGTCCCTCCTCAACCAAGGTCTCCCATCCTATTGTGAAGGGGAGCTTCTTGTCTCCAGAAATCTCCAGCTTTGATCTTGCGAGTCCAGGCCCTTCACGGGCTTCTTTGAAAAAAACTACTGCCTTTAAGAGGAAAGGAATCTTGGGCCATGTAGAGAAATACTTAGATAAGATTGAAGAGCATCCAAATGGCGAAATGGCAAGTGAGTCAGAGGACTTAGAGTCCTCACCAGTATCTGAAATCAGCAGTTTGTTGCCCTCAACGATTGCCAACACCGTTCAGTTTGCTGTTCCCACAATAGGGCTCACAGCTAAGCACCCTGTTGTTACCACTGGCACCTACAGTACTGCTGTTGCTGCTGTACATCCTCATGGGACTCCAAGCAGCGCAACAGCCATAAGGCCTACTACAGCTTATCATCAAAATTCACACCAGCCAACTGTGAATCCTAGTACCACGACTGTTCTCCAGTCACCCATGGCTTCTGTATTTACTGCCATCAACTTCGTCCCTTTGCCTTCCAGTACACCCAGAGAAAGTCTGTCTGTGTCTTTACCTGGTGTCCATCTTAGTAGCAGACAGTCATCAGAAGGAGCTCCAGCCAGGAAAGAAGTACTTCGCTTTGGTGACAAAAGCATACTTCTTACGGCGTTGCTCTTTGGAGTGATACTCTTGCTTTTAGTTACAGTGCTGGTTGGTAGGATGATGCTGGAATCTCTTCAGAAGAGGCGTTACACTAGGCTGGACTACTTGATCAATGGCATGTATGCCAACATGTGATAGAAGAGGAAGTGCGAAGAAGTTCATTTCTGTTAAATGTAGAGACACCCCTTTCAACCCAGCTCTTTGTAGCCTTTATAAAAAGAAAATGGGTTAAATTAATTATGACCGAGCTTGTGTTCTCTTTCTTACGAGGCTATTGTGAACTGTTACATGCACTTTGGGATGGTTAAAAGTTCTCGTATGTTGGCTTTATTCTTTTACAATGTGCTTCTTGGAGGATTTGGGGAGTTGAGGGCCAAAAATGTAACTTCTCCATATTCTGATTGGTATGCTGAGTCTCTAATTTTCCACTTCAAGAATTCTTTTATAGTTTGAAGTGCTCTTGTACATGCATGATGTATAACATTTCCATTCAGTTAACATGGGTTGCAGTTCAAGAAGGAAATTATCTGTCTGCATTTTGGGTATTGGCTAAATTAGCTAATCTTGTACAGGGGATTATTTTTCTATTAAAAATAATTTTTTAGTAAAAAAAAACTATGATTTTTATAAAGAACAGACAACTTTTGACCAAATAATGTTAACATCAGATGATAAATTAATTAGGAAAAAAATATAAATTTCTTTTAAACTGGAAAATGGAGGACGAACAGGTCAAAGAAACGATGGTTCAATGGGCAAAAATTTTGGGGTACAATATTGACTTAGAAAAATGGCAAGAGCTGTGATCTAGGATCTATAAGATGACAATGGCAACATCTTATAAAGAGAATCTATATAAAATGTGTTATAGATGGCATTTACCTTCCGATAGATTGGCTAAGATGTATTCTAATAGGTCAAGTAAATGTTGGAAATGTCATAAAAAATTGGAACCTATTATCACCTCTGGTGGACTTGTGATAAAGCAAAAAAATTTTGGAACAAAATACATACATGGCTTGTTAAAATAATCAAAAAGCATGTAAATTTTAGGCCAGAGCTCTTTCTGTTAGGTATAATACCAGAAAGTGTTGATAGACAAAATGTATATTTATTACTGCATATTCTAACAGCTGCGAGGATTATTTATGCACAGTACTGGAAAAATTAAGGAACACCTACGGATCAAGAAATTAAAAAGATATTGGACTGTGCCGAAATCGACAGACTAACACTTAAAATCAAAGGAAAAGAAGATACAAAATATTATCAAACATGGGACTTATTCTATCAATGGTTAGAAGGATGTTGTATAGATTAGGAGCGTAATGTGTGTAGTAGGTTTTTTTTTACAAATGATTATAAGCTGTACCCTGGTGGCATGATGTTAAATCAGTATGGATGGATTTATATAATAAAAAGAAAATTAAAAAAAAATAATATTTTTTAAAAAGAAAAACATTTTGGGAGATGTGAAATATTGCCGCAGATGTGGCCCTTCAGGATCCAGTGATTGATGTGTATGGCCCTGGAACCTTTGGAAATTGGCAATTGGTGGAAGCAGGCAATTTCCAAAGGTTCCAGGGCCATACACACCAATCACTGGATCCTGAAGGGCCACATCTGCGGCAATATTTCACATCTCCCAAAATGTTTTTCTTTTAAAAAATTATTTTTAATAGAAAAAGAATCCCCATGTACTGGCCAGTTTTTTTTAATGGGGCATGAGTGACTCTGAGGCCCTCAAAATGGGGCAGGATTGTCCTACACACCCCTTGAAGGGAAATGTTGCCTGAACCAAGAATTTCTTTAAAATATTTTTTTTACATTGTAAGGTGTTCCTCAGCTGGCTGTTGCTGGTGGATTCAGTGCTACTATTTCCTCAAACCTTGTCAAGTAAGTTGATCCCACTGGGGCATGAATGCTCAGTGGGATCAGAAAATGCAAAATACTTTTCATGCTAGTTTAATTCTCCCCCTCACCCTGCCACTAGCCCACAATACAATAGAATTCCCACTGGACCAGAAGATATTTAGTTCTTAAAATTAAAACAAAAAACTTTGGTTTTTGAATGTGAGATATTGTACTTTTGTACCCACAACTCAAAAAAGCCAGGAAATGGCCCAATATTGCTGCACAACATCATGCCCACATTGCCAGCAGGAAAAAGGATGCCAAGCTTTACATAGCAGCCTGAATATTGACAATGCCAGTCAATAGCAGCTGTCAAGATGGTCTACAGGATACCCTCTTCTGCTCAGTACTTATTCACAAAGTGTCACCACGTAAAGGAAAATCCCGGAAGCTGACTCCTTTTTTTTTCATCAGATACGCATTTCTCACGCAGACATGAAACAACTGTTGGGGCTGTGTTTCAATAAGTATGAATGGTAGTGATCAGAAGAAGGTATCCTGTAGACCATTACATTCTGCTGAGATCTTCCAAACTAACAGCTGTGGCTTCCTCTGTTGAGTCAACCCATCTCATGTTTAGTCTTCCTCTTTTCCTACTGCTCAACCCCACTTTTCCAGCAATATAGTCTATTCTGGTCACTTCTGTCATTATATGTGCATGGTAGGATAGGCACAGTTTACTCATTCTTGCTCTAGTGAAAGTTCAGGCTTGATTCGATTGAGCACCCACTTTTTTTGCTTTTCTGTCTGTTTATCCATCCTCTCAGGGTTCCGATTTGAAGACCCTGTTTTATTTTAGCTCAGTAGGAAGTTCTGAGGATGGTGCTGGTGGACTCCTGTTTGATGCAGTACCTACTGGCCGATGGTGTTCCTCAGTGTTGTATTTTGCTCCTCATTGCTTTTGTTCCTCCCCCTATTTGTTGTGTACATTCTTCCATGACATTCATGGTTCAGTGTCATTAGCCTGATGATGACAAGCTGTCCATTCCATTAAGATCCAGGAAAGCTATTCCAGTGCTAAATCAGTGTCATGTGCTACGTGAGGCTGAGCAAAAAGACCCTTAATCCAGGCAAGACAGAAATGTTCCCAGTTAGTGGAAGTGCAGAGTAGGGAAGATACTATGCTTAATATGAACACTAGAGGGTATCAAAGATCAAGAAACAACCCCAACTTGTTGGCAAAACTAGTATAGGAGAAAAAGAAAAGGCGAAGTATGATGGCACTTTAAAAACTGACAAGATCTACTTCAGTATAAGCTTCTTCAGACACAAACAGTACAAATCTAAAGAAGTGGATTTTAAGCCATGCTTTGCCTTTCTTCCTTTTTTGGGATGGGGTTGGTTTTCCTTTTCTCCAGTTAATTCATGTTCAGCATTCTGAGACAATCTAACACAGAAACATCTTTGGAAAACCCAGCCTGCAATCTTGATACCATAAACTTTAGTAAATAATGTAGACAGGAAGCACACATCTGAACTATTTATTCTGTTGACAAGAAAGTGTCCTGATTGAGGCAGAAAAAACATTATATTATGTCACTGTAACATGGAAATTCAAAGGGTACTTATGTGCCGTCTAACCATGGCTCGATGTTGCACTTTTATCATGGCTAGCCCGATTCTTCTAAGAAGCTTACCAGAACAGCATAAAAGGAATGCCCAACCTTTTCATTGTTGCCGGCACTGGCATTCATTCATGGGTCCTGTCTATATGCACAGTCTACAAAAGGGGATCAATTCATGCAAACAAATCCCTCATTGGAATTTTGCACCTGTTGATTTTCAAGTTCTGAAATATGTGGAACTGCTGCTAAACCTGAGGTTCCAAGCTCAATGCATTGACCACCTACTCTGCTTGGCCATGCAACATGGCAGATGGCCAGTGCTCCAGCCATAACAAGCCCTAGGCATATCCGGGGATTTTGACGTACCATGAACTAGTTCCATGTGATTCCATGTAAGAGCTTTTGTTGTAAGAGTTGCCAACTCTAATACTTTCTTTTACTTCAAGCATTTCTATACCTCTCTTTGAAGTGAACTCTTCTTAAGATTATTTGCAAGATACATTTTTAAAACAATGAAATATGAAATATAGTTAACTGAAACACATAGAACAACACTTGCTGATTAAAACGCATAGAAAAACAAGCCTTGCTGAGGGAAAACCAGCATGGCTTCTGTAAGTCTTGCCTCACAAACCTTTTAGAATGAAGCTGGACGAGATGGGCCCTTGGCTCGATCCAGCAGACCTCTTCTTACATTCTTATGAAACAGTAACGCATAGAAAAACAAGCCTTGCTGAGGGAAAACCAGCATGGCTTCTGTAAGTCTTGCCTCACAAACCTTTTAGAATTCTTTGAAAAGGTCAACAGACATGTGGATGCAGGTGAACCAGTGGATATTATCTGTCTCGATTTTCAGAAGGTGTTTGACATGGTCCCTCACCAAATGCTGCTGAGAGAACTCCACAGTGAGGGGATAAGAGGGCAGCTCCTCTTATGGACTGAGAATAGGTTAAGAACGAGAAAGAGAGTAAGTGTCAATCGGCAGTTTTCACAATGGAGAGAGGTGAAGAGCAGTTTGCCCCAGGGATCTGTTCTGGGACTGGTGCTTTTCAATCTGTTCATAAATCACCTGGAGACAGAGATAAACAGAGAAGTGGCCAAGTTTGCAGATGACATGAAACTTTTCTGGATGGTGAAGACCAGAAGAGATATTGTGAAGAGCTCCAGAAGGATCTCTCCAAACTGGGAGAACGGGTGGCAAAATAGCAAATGTGTTTAAGAAAATGTAAAATGATGCACATTGGGGCAAAAAATCAAAACATTATCATCTGATGGGTTCTGAGCTGTCCGTGATGGATCAGGAAACTGATGTTGGTATGCTGGTGGACAGCTCAATGAAAGTGTCAACCCAGTGTGTAGCAGCAGTGAAGAAGGCCAATTCCATGCTACAGTAGGTATCATTAAAAGGGGGATTGAAAATAAAACAGTCAACATTATAATGATATTGTACAAAATGCTGGTAAGACCACACCTGGAGTATTGTGTACAGTACTGGTCGCCTCACCTCAAAAAATACATAGTGCAAACGGAAAACGTGCAGAAGAGAGCAACTAAAATGGTGACTGGGCTGGGGCACCTCCTTTATGAGGAAAGGCTACAGCATTTGGGGCTCTTTCGCCTAGAGAAAAGGAGCCTGAGGGGGGACATGATTGAGACATATAAAATTATGCAGGGATGGATAAATTAGATAGAGGGAAGCGATTTTCCTTCTCACGCAATACCAGAACCAAGTGACATCCAATCAAACTGAGTGTTGGGAGAGTGAGAACAGACAAAAGAAAATATTTCTTTACCCAGCATGTTCTTAGTCTGTGGAACTCCTTGCCACAGGATGTAGTGATGGCATCTAGCCTAGATGCCTTTAAAAGGGGATTGGACAGATTCTTGGAGGAAAAGCCCATCGTTACAAGCCATGATGGGGATGTATAATCTCCACACTTAAAAGGAAGGTATCTCCAAATGCCTGATACAGGGGAGGAGTACCAGGAGACAGGTACATATCTCATTGTCTCTTGTGCTCCCAGAGGCATCTGGTGGGGCCACTGTGAGATACATGAAGCTGGATGAGATGGGCCCTTGGCTTGATCCAGCAGACCTTTTCTTACATTCTTATGAAACAGTTACACAAAACATGTAAAATAATTTTGTTGTTTAGTTGTTGTGT